GACCTAAGATGGGTGTGTCGCTTGGTCACCGATATACTCCATAAGAGAAGAGCGGTATGAAGTGTATTATTTATTTGTTATATACCTGTGTATGGAAATTTGCACGTATCTTACTGGGTATTTTTAATACTCACTCTTACATTAATTTTTCAGATTAGTTCGGGTCGATTGGAACAGTGGAGAATTGATGATGCGGATTGCCAAGTGGATAAAGAATAGAGAAAAAGAAATAAGTTTGCCATTTTAAATTTAGCAATTTGTTTATTTTAATTTAGAACGCATTATTTGAATTACTTAGGAGTTTATGTTTATGGTTAGATACGCTTTCAATAATTTTAATTTAAACGTTACAATTATTTGTTTATTGAAAAATTTTATATAGTTCCACATTTTTTTTATTAAAGAAAAATGAGTTTTCGTAACGTTCCCGTGTTTATGCTTAATAATAAAAAAAAATGGGGCGTTACAAGAAATCCAAATACATATAGGAGAGCATATTATGCCTCAGTATTCGCAAGAACAAACGGACATTCAAAATCCAAAAGAAGAGTTAAAAACTCAAGAAAATCAACCATTGGTTGGTGTAAATACTTCAATGGTAGGGAAAAAATTCTATGTAATCTACAATAGACCACACAGAGGTTTCTATACAAATTGGGAACAAGTTGAACCACTTGTAAAAGGAAAGCTCTACAAACACAAAAGTTTCGAAACCTATACAGAAGCCCATGAGGCTTTTTCAAAATTCCACCAAGAAAAGGGTGAAAACCCAATGCCATATAAACAACTTCTTCAAGATGACAATACTCATTTGAAACCAAATTATTGTCAAAATCCAAGTTCAATAAGAGTCGGGCCTAGATTTCCAGCCCAACTCTTTAGACTACCAAATGAAAACCCAAGGATTAGAATGTTATCTTTTAAAGATTCAGTTGAATCCCATAATGAACCAGAGTCTATTCCTAGTAGATTCAAAAGAATTGGAAAAATTCATAAACCACAAGAAAGTCCATTTCTCAGTGAAATTACTTTGCAAGATTTTCTTCAATATGAAGAAGAAGCAAAAATTGTGGGATCATCTGTCCCAAAAAAAGGATACTTTGGAACAATTGATAAGAAATTTGGATAGTTTATCTTCTTTGAAGGAGCAGATCCAACAATGGTGCAAATAGCTTTTCACTGTGAACTAATCAAAATGACTATCCTTAGTGAATCAATGGAGGAAATCCAGAAGATTGATAATAATTTAATTAAAGTTTTAAAAGATTTTAAGAAATTTGTTATTAAAAATCAGAAATTGCAAATGATGTTGAAAATAAACAGTACGATTCCTTTTTGGAATGAGGAAGGATTTCTAATTAAAGAATATCATCATATTCAGATTAAAACCATGCCGGAAGTGATTCTGAATAAACCAGTTCAAGGAGAAATTAAATGTGTTAATGAGTTAACACTTCAGGACTGGAGAAATCTTTCTTATCAAAGGATTTTAACTTGATTAAAATCTTTTAATAATGAGTCCAAAATCAAGGTAAATTATTCATCAAATTTTATCTTGGTTACAAGTAAGACAGGATCAACAATTCAACTTGAAGGAATAAAAATTTTCTGCAATTCTGAGAAGAATTTTTATAATGTGCCAAACACTCCATCAAACTACCAATGACATCTTTGCAAAGTTTTGAAGCAAAGTCTTGGAAAATATCATAAATGCAAATGTTGTCATTTACTTGAAGAAAAGGACAGAGAAAAATCTCCAGAAGATTTATTTTGGGGAAAAGAAGGAGAGACAAGTGGAGGATCCACTAAAAAAGCATCCACCAAAAGCAAGACTAAGGAGGATGAATCAGACTTATTTTCAAAAAGAAATATGATTTTTGAAAAATTTGCCAACTTTTGACAGAGAATGCACCTGTTTTTTTTTTTTAAAGAGTGAGCATCTTTGAAAATTTGAGAAAAGAGAAAAAATTCTTGTCATATCACTTTATCATTACTTTTGCTTTCGGCAAAAGAAAAATTGTTTATAATGACAAAAGAATGGATGATAGCAAAAAGGAATTTTTCCAATTTACTATTAAATGAGGACTTCAAGAAGAGAAGAGGATGAGAAATTTTTAGAGAAAAATTTTCTTATTCTGAATTTCTAATGTATACATTTCGAGACTAAACCCTCAATGACAATAGATCTATCTTTGGATCTTTCATGTAATTAAATAAGTTTGAGAGTTCTTCATACTCTTAAACCTTCTTTCTTGAATAAAATTTTATGTTTTAGTCAATTCTTTATATATTTTATGTCTATATACAAATCATGTACGGATCTCTTCAAAATCATTGGGACTAAGTAGTACCGTCAGACAAGTTGCCGTTAGGGAAGACAGTCCAGAAAATTTAACGAAGTGAAACAAAGGAGCATACAGACAGAAAACGTAAGGAGGAGTCATCAATCTATACATACTGTAAGAAAGTTATGAATTTAAAAATTTCTTTAAATTTATTTAAGTATGATTTTCTTATAGATTCTACTGGCTGCATAAAAATTGTATACTTTTTATTAAAATACATAAATTTTACTAACACATTTCCCCTCAAAATGGTATCAATATAAGGTGCATTGGTGTTCTTCTCTGTATATTGACAAATTGATTTAAAATTTTGACTATAGTAATTTAAAAGAGTGATTTTTTTTATTTTTATTTTTAATATTACAAGAATTTAGAGCACACAGATTATAGAGAAGCAGCGAAAACGTTGGAAGTTTTTGTGAAAGGTGACTCGACCCATGGAATTCTTGGCGCAAAGAAAAGTCCGCAAGGCCAGGTCCACGACAAGCGCCGAACGGACGAGTCGCAATTGCATTCGTTAATGGTGTCGAAGAAACCTTCGATTTCATCTATGTCGCCGCCCGGACCATCCGTAGCTTGATTCTCACTCGTGAGACGGAGTAGATGTTTGGAGAAGCTTGTGAGCAGTGGCCTGTTGTCATACCTAAAGAAGAGCTCCACTTACCTTTCCTTAAATTCAAGGTAATGGGTTCATCCCTTGATTGGAAATTTTTTGTGGGATTTCTTTTTTGAACGGTGTGATAATTAGTTTTTCTTGGGTCTGTGTTCTACGGTATTTACAATTTATCGAATATGCGGTCTCTGTGTACTCATTTGAGGTCTAAGGTTACAGCTTTCTAGTTTTTATGTTTCAATTACAACAATTTTGAGCATTTTTCGTGAAATTCTTGTCTGTATCGCGTGAATGAAGGCAATAGCTTTTGGTGGGTTTGGGTTATTCAATGAGAATATGTCTAACTGGTGGTAGTTCTCTTTGTAAGGATGGGGATTTCTAGTTTTGACTGTTTGGGTATGAAATGGATGCTTAGTTCAGTGACTGGTAAAAAAGAGTGGCTATTTCGGCACTCATGTTCTTTTGAACTTCCAGCTTGAATGTTAGTAACGTGATTAGCATTTGCAATTTATAAGAACATTAGTATCTAAAAGTTGTGTTTTCCTCGCCAAGGATGAAATTCAGTCATCTGAATAGCATTTGCAATTGATGAGCCCATTAGTAAGAGGGTTCATCAGTAATTAAAATAAGGAAAAACTCTGGTCAAGGATTAAACAGAAGGAATCATGTATCTGCAAGAGATCCAAGTGTTTAGCAATATTGTTATGGATAGTGCTGCCAAGTGTCGGCATGCCCAAAAAGATATAAGCTGATACATTTGGATTGAAACATTCATGTGTTCTTGCCATCATCTCTGTTGTAAAGACCACCATTTTGATATAATCTCTCATATTGCATCACTCTAGGTTTGACATACAATAGTTGCTAAGATTTTTCTTTCAGCATTTTCTCACTAGCCAATGTTTGCTTCTTGAATGCATAATAAGATAAACTAAATTGGGGTTGTGCCTGGTGTTCATTGACTTCAGTCTGAATGTGTTGTTATTATGGGATTATGAAGTAACAAATTTGATGATTATATTTTGCCTTTATGCTTGTGATCGAATGTTGTCATATTCTGTGTGTGATTAGAGGACATTTTCTCATATGATGTTTTCTGATTCCTTTTTTTAATTCTTTTGTATAATCATTGCTGGCTACGTATTGTGCGTACTTTAAAATAGACATTTCATTATATAAGAGAAATAATACTTGGATGCTATACTTTTCACAACCTGGCATATGCTGCCTTTTTATGAACAGATGTGATTTTAAGCAACTGAAATGTATGTGGATTATGTAATTCGGTTGGTTATTTATTTTCTCATTGTAGTGTTTAAATTTCGTGGTTATGAATAACTTATTTGACAAAGGGAAAGTATAATGGCGTGTGAAGTTGAAATGTAATATTGAACAGTAATTTTTACGGAGTTGATAGTTCTGAACGTATTCTTAACTTGTTAAAACTATTAGGTGCCATATCCCTCTGGTCTATAAATTCTCCTCTTTTTATTTTTGCAACAATGGAAAGCGGAAGAGAAGAAGCAGGAGCTGCAATTCATCAAATCCAGCATTGTTGAGTCAGATTGATGACCATAGATCAATGCCATGCAGTGAGTTAATCGGTAAGGGGTTTACATACGGATGCAATTTAAGGTCAATGCCTTTCCTAGTTACTGGCATGTTTTTCTCCTTCAACTATGTACATAAAGTACTTGGTCCTTTCATTTTGAACTTTTTAAGGCTGACTTGAATAGTTTATTTCTGTATGTCCAAATGTTCTTTATTGTGGAAGGTTTTGTTTTAGGCAGATTATAGTTAACAGAGATTCTTTAGCTGAATTTTTATGAGCTATCTTTCAGTTGGATCCACAAGATATTTTTATGTGATATGTATCATAAGTTTGATAATAACTTCACGAGAGACTTTTTTTTTTCCTTTTCAAAACATGAACAACATTTTTCATATCTTGCATGCATATGTATGTTATGAAGGAATTATTTGTAAATCTTATGGTATATTGCATAATAGTATCTTGCTACTGAAATAAGTTCTGAACAAGTAGTTTAAAATCACAGTGGAGTTACAAACATTATGTAGGTTTTTTTCCAGTATCTAAAACAGCTGGTGATGTAGAATATGCATGAAACCTTTAGTTAATTTTGGATTTTATACAAATGGTTCATATGCTCGCCAAATGCAAAGTGTCAAGGTGAGCTATGAAAGATGGTAATAAGATAGATGTCTAATAGAGGAAAAGAGGCAGGATGGTCAGAAATCCTTTTGTAAGCATCAAATATGATAGTGGAGGAACATTCTGCCAACAGAAAATTCCATAACTGCAGTTCTCCTCCTGCACTTACGCAATCCCATTATTGAATAAATGGAGATTGCCTTCTTTATAATTATAGGTTAATAACTTTTATGGTCACTGAGTTTATGTGTGCCTTCTTTTTGATCAATAATGTGTTTGTGTGTTGTTTTAAGGGATTGTCTGTTGTATATTATATGTTGACATTTTTAGCTCCCGTTTGGCCCCCATTCTCTTTCTTTCTTATTTTCAACCACACAATCTTCCATAAAATAATATTACGCGCAAATCAAAATCTTTTCATTCTTTTTTCAACCACACATTTTTTAAAAAAAAATTATTCCAACCATTAAAATTTGGAAAGAATGGGAGCCACACGGGGGCTTAATAACATGAAAAAATGGATTTGATTTTATTCATGCATTTATATGTCTGAAGGTGGTTAGGCAACTTGGATTTGTGTTAATATATTTTGATATATCTTAGCCACAATTTTGGATCAATTCACGTCAAGCTAATATATTATAGGTCAACTAATTGTTAAATACTCAAAACTGAAATTTAGGAACATTAGTTATAATGTCAAGGAAATCTAGGGCACGTTCTTTTGACTTTATGTGCATGAATTTGGAACCATTTTGGGTAATAAAATTATAGAAATGGAAAACGCTACAAAGCACCTTATGCCATGTGACCATTCAAAACAGGGCTCAATTTGATCGTTACTGAAAAAAACCTATATTGGTCCCGGTGAAAAATAAGAGATATTCGAAAGAAGTAAAAGCTCCGAGGATCTAGGGTTACTTTCCAAAATTTTCATTGGATATTTCCCCTCTATGTACATAGGCCGATAAACTAAGTGCATGTTTGTCGAAGTTTATTTTTATTTTTTATTTTTTTTTAAGTTGGTCAAACATACTTTTTATCTCTACATTTCGTAGGATTTATAATTTACTACTCATTTATTATTCACACATTTCATAGGACCCACTAGCTACAACTTGTAAGCTCTTAAAAGCACAACCAAACAAGCGATAAAAAATAGGAAATAGATTAGGGTTTCTTTGGGATTTCAGTATTCAGAGTTGGTGGCCGCAATTGCAAAAAGCAACTGTATCAATAGTTTTCTATATATGATTAAAAATTACATCCAATAACTTGTATTTGCAAATTATGGAAAAATCGAAGAAATCAAAAAGGATTACTTGGGCTTCCGATGTTAATCTTTGTCAGGTAAATCTTTTGATTCTTGTTGATCTTTAATGGTTTGTGTCCATTTTCAATCTTGATTTTCTAAAAGATGGTAAATATCAAATTCAATGCAAAAACAGCTTAATTACAATAAGTTGAAATAATCTTTTCTAAATTTAAGTGGAAGATGAAACAAATATATAATTCTTATTTTTCTATTTGAAATTAATTTTTTTTAATGGAATGTGAAATTAAATCTGTCTTTATTGCACATTTGTGAGAGACTTAACTATTGCTTGATGAAATAATCGTTGGTTATGTGTATCCTTGCTGGAAAAAGCCTAAGAATGGGTGTTCTTCCCTTTTTGAAGTTCAGAGCAGTTCATTTAGTGTTAATTATAACGTTAATGAACGTGAATTAATATGTTTAACTGTCCATGAATGTAGAATGTTGAATATTACTCTATATCTACATCTATGACATTAATTGCACTAGTAAACCACTTTCAAGCTAGGACAAGGAGTAGGTAGATAAAAGTTCACCATCAAAAAACGTCGGAAGGGTACTTTGGAAGTCTGAGAGGCAAGAAAATGGTCTAAGTTCCAATAAAAAATTATTTAGTCTAGTTTGATCATGTTTAGATTATACATCATGTTTTCTATTTTTCTATTTATTGCAAATTTTCATTTTATTTCTAGCTCAGATTTGTTTCTTTTTCTCTCTATTAAGGGTTGGGATGAATAGGATGATTCATGTCTTTGTTGAGAATTAGAGATCCTAATTTTATTTCACCGAGAGCAATTAATAGAAAACACACACGAGATTTAAAGTCATCTCAATGTGAAACTACATCTTCTTTCATCACTGTAGTATTTCACTATGATGAATACTTATCTTTTCTAATGTCCCTTTATCTCTTTTATGACGGTGATAAAAGCCTAATGGCTCAACAAATTATGGCAAAATTGAAATTTACAAAGATTCAAATTCCTATGACGAAATCTACAAGAACACAATTTCCTAAACTACCGTAAATGAATTTTAGCATGGGGCCCCCTCCCTTGTAACCCCTAGGAGCTTCCAACCCCACGCCGACTTCAATACGGAGGTTGATCCGAGTATTGACTCCACGAAGCTGCAATAATTAGAGGCTCCTCAACTTAATGGTCTTAAAGTATGATAAAATTTTATGTTGAGGTTCAACCTACAACAATCCTCCTCCCTTATTCTAGCTTAGGACTAAGTGTCAAAACATAAGTAGTAACTGTCACTACATGGCTTCATGTGGCACATGAGAGTCCCACGTAGGAAGAAGGAAGCCACATGGCCAACCATAATGACGTCACTGCAGAATTGAACCAAACTAGGCTTTGCCAAAGACACTTCAAAAATGTGAAGTTTTAAAATCACCACACTGTGGGCTGCGTACAAAGGAGCAAAGCCACAAGCCCGCAAAACTCATTTTTTGCCTAAGGCAAGAAGTTGACTTGGCTGGCCGAACCCCAGTAGGCAGGAGGCTGAACCTAACGGCGTAAGGTTGTGCCCATTAAGCTTGTGAGTAATTAGATTCCAGCAATTTATGTTAGTAGAAGCTATGGGAAAACTCTCAAGTATCTTGCCTTCTTAAAGGGAACCGACAAACATCTTTTCGGCCATATGGCTTTTAGATTTGGTCTCATGTGGCAAAACTGTTAATGAATATGTAAAAAAGACGAAACGAAATAGCTAATGAAAATAACAACCTAGCTAATGGGTGAAAGCCACATGTCCCCGGAACCATCAAGAATCAAAATCTGTTATGAATTCTATGGTGAGGGGACATGTGTCCAAGGAAATAAAGGACTAAAAAGTCCATAAGCTTGGAATATTATGAACACGAAAATCATGAAGATGAAATGGGAAATTGGAAACGCTAGCCAATTCTCGCTCTTCATCCTTGAGACCTTGGTGGCAATCAACACCGTAAAGTAGCTCGCTTGGTGCTCTGGTGACCGGAAAAGGCTCAAGAATGGTGACTAGACAAGGAGGTGGCAAGGGATATGTTGGTTTCATTGTGGTCAACAATTATGAAGGTCTGATCCACTAGAAGTATGTTAGAAGACGAAAATAGTCATGAATTTTTATGGTTGCGAAGGAATTGATTGCATTAGATATTCTAGTAGGTGTAACGATGGACGGAACAGAGTGCAAAAAATGATTCATGTAGTCGACCCCAAATTTAATTGAAATTTCACTTAGTTCATTGTTTTTTTAAAGATTGAGACGAATGATATAATTGCTATGTTTTTTATTTGCTTTGTCTTTAGTTTATGCTGATTATCTTCTTCCCACGTGGAGATTATTGCATACTTTCTCTCCAAGAGGTTAGAGTTGTGGATTAGGGATAAGCTGGAGCCAGTGTTACCAGTTCCCACAGTATGTTTTATATTAATGAGTGAATCTGTCAGAGTTGTCCAAGTCAGTTGAAAGGTGGGCTACATAGGTGTACTTGTGCCTGCTTAAGCACAAAAGACACAGAAATCTCTCAAGTTATGAAATTCTTTTTGATGAGTGGGTTGTTTTCGATGTGTTGACTGGTTAATGGTTCTTCAGTTAGGTTTTTCACTGTGCTGCTTTATATGCTTAATGTAGGAGTGCTATTTATTTTATGCCTGATATGCCAACTAGTTTCATATATTTCTTCTAATTGTTTGTGTTTACAGAATACATCTCCACAAATCAAGCATTCTAAGATTCATCGTTTGTGGAGTACTTTATCTTGATTATAGACTAATATCTGTTGATTGACTAAAATGAGTTACCTAATTAAGTATAATGCTTATATCACTGCTTAATGGTATACTTTGCATTCAATAGGTAAGGTTGTTTTCATCAGAAGAATCTCCATCACAAGTCAACTCGGAGGCTTTGAAATCCGATGACGATTTTCCACCCGGCTTCAAAAGAATCCAGACACCAAATCTTTGGAGAAATAAGTTGTCCAAAATACCTCTTGTCAAATGGAGATGCCCTCCCCAAGTGAGTTCATTTGTTCTTGTCCCCTTTCATTCTTTATAAATTTAAGCACAAAACTTTTTCAGGCATAAGATTTAAAGTGGGGACAATGATAATGTTTAATTGTTGTTTGAACTTTTGCATAATCCTTGGGGAGAAAGGGGGTAGCGGGGTTGGGCTCTAAACAGTGAGAATAAGTTATTCTCTTTCAGGACAGTATTCTCAAACCTGGCCTTTCTATGAATTGATACGTTCAAAATATCCACACTATGCCTTCAGTAATTGGAGATTTCATGCTTTCCCACATCCTTCTGGAATTTTTATTCTTCCAGATTGTACAACTTTCTTTGTACTCCATGCAGGAGGAGAGGCCCAAGAAGATCCCTTTTTTTAATTTTTTTCCCATTTATTTTATAAAGGCAGTGGTGGGTTGTTTGATATTGTCCTAGCAGAATTATAGCACAGTACGTAGGTCGAAGCCATGTCTTACTCTACTACTCCATTTTTTTCCTACCCTTTGCAGTTTGTACTAGATGGTGCATGGCAAGTGGTTGCTGGAGAAGAAAGCAAAGAATTGGAAGCTCAAACCCAACGGGAGATGAGAGTTATTGAAGCTGTTTATCCACATCCTTCTCCTATCCCTCCCAAGTACAATTCTTGTCCCTCTTTTTTGTGAGTTGCCATTTCTTTTTATGTTCTTTGAATTATACATTTGCTTTTATCTTTGTGCAGCCTTTATGCACAAGTGAGAGTGGAAAACACTTTTGTAAACGACCAAAACACCCTTCTGATTCCCATCACTCCTATTGAAGACGAGGATGCAGAGCTAGATACGTCAACAGTCGACTACATGGCTCCAAACCCACAAGTCCGGCTATTGGCACAGGGAACTTCCTTGTCTCAGGGCTGTGGCGCTACCACCCCTCGTGCTCAATTCCCATCAACAGTCACTGAGTCTGATCTTGTATCAGCTGCAAATGCTGCTTTGACTGCACTTATGGCAAACAGTGATCTGAAGGAATTAATTGATCGAAACTGGCTTGTCAAACTTCTCAATGATCGAAAAATGATTGAACAACTCACCATGAATCCCAGAGCAGCATCCATTGTGAAGAATCTGCCCCCCTCCAGCTTGCAGAATGTGCTCTCCTCTAGCTTGCTGAATATTTCCTCATCCCGTTTGCAGAATATACAAGCCATTGGCTCGCAAAATATACCATCCTTGTGTATGCAGAGTATGTCATCGTTCAGCTTGCATAGTTTGCCATCAATCGGTCCACCAAGTATGCTCAACTTGAGTTCTTTAGCTAATAATTTTTATGATCCAGTTCCAATCGTCGTCAGTAGAGGAGATCCACCTTCTGCTACACCAACCCGACCCTTTCATCATCCTCATAAAATCATGGGAACAGTTCCCAGTTTCTGTCCGTCTGGAGCCAATCTTTTATCAGGCACACCGTCTGCATCTCTAGGAGATCCTAGAACTTACAAGAGCCTCATACGGCAACATGGAGGAGAAAGACAAGAAACTTTGCCCCATTTATGTAGTCAGACAACTCAAGAATCTGCAAATACTAAGAAACGAAGAGGAGAGAAATCAAAGATGAAGCCTTGCATCTTCTTCAAGAGCCCAATGGGTTGCAGGGATGGAGTAAACTGTGCATTTCTGCATGATACAACATCCCAGCAGAGAGTCAGTAGCATCTCAGATGTTCCAAGTTCAAAAAGAGCGAAAATGGATTGAGAAATTACTGATCCATTATTTGCAATCAGCATATCTGTGTGTATTTTTATTGAAGGCGTTGTTTTTGCCAACCTTTTCCTTCATGTTTATCTGATTCCTCACTGGATATTATGCAGAAATTTTATTCGATGTTCTTAAAATTTACATTTTCTGCTCATAGTAATTCATCTCTCCTTTGTTCGTAAGATTTGAATTGTTGCATGCACTCATCATGAATTTTGAGGAATTTATGTGGCGAGTATGGCATTGTTTATGCCATTTGTGAACTTCACGAGGAATGTGATTAAAGGGGATTTACCATTTTAATAACAAAAACAATTAAGGTAGTTGTACAAACATGGTTGACAACTTTGGTTGGCAATCATGTTTTGACACCATAGATATAAAAAAACAGTTTTTAATTTTTTTAAAAATAAATGGATGTGATGGTGCCAAGCGTTTAATTGTCAACCAATGTTGTCAACAAAAATTATACATATAGCATAATCCATTTACCCTAATGGCTGATATACCATTTCCTTTAATTTAAACACCATGATTGCTATACTATTTCAGTTTTATGAAAGGGTAAGAATTTGATAGGTGATGACAAAAAAATGAACTAGCAATTCAGTTATAATTGTAAATCTACTTAAGTCTGATAGCATCTGTTGCATTTTTAAGATGCCTGAAGATCGAATGTGAAATGAGTGACCGACATCATCTTCATGTGAATTTTGCCAATAGTTTAAACCATTAGCACTCAGAAGATCGAACTAACTCGATTGTAAAATCAGATTCCAGCTAGTGTAGAAGAGTCATGCTCATCTCTATATTTGACCAGAGGTGGAGTCAGGATCTGAGAGCCATGGCAACTACCTGTATTTGACACTCGAGTTCTTAAATTCACCACTGTATTTGACTCAAGTTTTTAGACTTCCTAGTGCCTTTTTTTGACGGTCATACTACTCAATTTGGGACATGCATCTAGTTTTTCTTTACTGATTAGGCTTGTGGGCCTGGATCTAAATTGGTTGTATCCTCGTATTTTTCATAATTTTGCAATGCATGTTTGAGGTTTCTAATCTGACAAGCCCCTTTCCAAATCATCCTAGCGGAATTGTAACATGACGTGCATCAATAATAAATGCTAGCTAAACGTCGGGCCCACCACTGAATTGGAATATAGAGATGCACGTACTTATTTACTCGAATTTATTTGGTTTCACCAAATTTTGTTTGGATCCCTTCAGTGTACTATTGTCTAATCTTGTAACGAATATCAAATATACTCTTTATGTGGACATTCCTTTGCTATTAGATTAGGTGAACAATATTTTCTGGCTCCAGCTAGGAATTTTTGGGTCTACTAGTTATATGGACAAGAGATCAAGCGGCTAATGATCTAAATTATCATGATTGTACTTTAGAATACATCTCTGGAGGGCCCTTTTACTTGGTGGATCCAGTTATTATTAGTGCCTAAACAGTACACATGTCAAAGATCTATACAAAATTTTGTGACATGAATCGTCGAACAACGAAATCTTTCTTACAAGTATTATTCCTTGTGTACAGAAAAAAATTCGCAGAAGGTTTACAGGGCTCTCACATGAGGCCCACCATGTGAATATTTTATTGCAAAAAATAAACCACCCACCCAACCATTGTGTGTTATCTGTAAGATTTCTTTGAAATTTTTCTTATATATGTAGATTGGTTGTTCTTACAAAGTCATCTTAGGCAGAATTATTAGGCATAGATAAGGCTTCTGATAATCCATGACAATGTGAAATAGATAGATTCGTTCCTTGAACAAACTTAAATGGCTTATATGCCGGAGTAAGCTTTCGTCATTAATTCCTGAGTCATACTCGAGTAAAAACTTTACATGCATATACATATATGAAGATGACATCACTTTCCTCGAAAGTTGTAACTAATATCAAAGGTGCAAGCAAGACCTACATCACCAAGGATCAGTCTCGAGAATCCATTTCAAGCACGGTTTCTTTGAGCCTCGTATCGAAGATTTCGTTATTTGAGCCTTAAGTCAAAGATTTTTTTTTTTATTTTTTTTATTTTTTTTTTTGCAGTAGGCTCACTCTCATGTTCATGCGATACTCCACATCAAAGTTTAAATAACAATATAAGATGGTCGAATTTATTTGTTTTATCCACATATCTCGTATTATTCATGACTTACTACACGTATTATCCACACAATCTGAAAGAAATAGTAAAGAGTTTTTAGTAGTGATGATAAATCACATGGAACATGGGGTGCAAACATTCATTCCATTCATGTCATGTCCTCCTTATGATTGGTTTATTATCTTTAAAATTTCATGACAGCTTGATCAACATATCTAAGTGGAATCGTGATCAGTTACCCCTCCACCCCTCCTATATATCCATGCTAAAGTGAAAGAACAACCTATTTGCAATATATTTTAGTAGAGGCATGACCCTACTTCCCTTTTTGTATGTTAGATGGAGGGGTCGGGTGGGGCTCCTTAGAGGTGCGTGAAGAATAATTATACTGTGCACTTTCCTTACAGTTTTGCAAGGCGAAGCAAATCTCTTTTTTCTACGTAAAGAGAGAAGGAAAAAAATCAGTTTACAGACAACCATATGTTGACAAGCAGACTTAATTCTAAACTGTGTGTTCTTCTTCTTCCCTTCGATTTTTGTTTCTCGATATATTATTCTCGATAGTAAAGAATTTCAGGCTGGTAAATGATGCTCTAAGTTGCATCTTCCTCCCATGTGCGGGTTGGAATTTTGTAATAGGAAGAATACAAACAAAGTTGTGACAAAAACTCCCTTGCAATCCGGATTTATAAGATGCTTTCTCTTTTTATATTATGTATATATATAAAAGTGTGAGCCCATATCTTCTTTTGTTAATAATCTTTTATTATCAAACACTTGACTAGTGAAGAGTAGTTTGTTTTGAATACTTGTTTGGTTCAACTATTTATTATTTTACCTACTAACATCTTTCTTGAAATCTTGAGGGATTTTTGTCGACGTGTCTCTAAGGACTTTGTTCATAAGAATCTCACAAATTGTAATTCACAACTTCTTTTGTACGAGTTTTTAAATTTTCTATCACTGAATCTGAAATCGATTATATGAACTTTTTTTCTTCATGTTATTCAATTCAAAATTACTTGCAAGGAAAGAGTCAATACAATCGAGTCATTTGCACTTGCTATAGGTTAATGCTATAACGACATATATGAAGATTTATATGTTGGTTCTCGACCCAATCTTCTTCCTTCGCCGGGTTTGGTACCTCGAAGTGGGAATTTTCTTAATTGCAATTTTAATGTTTTATTATATGCTGGCAAAATATATTATAATCAAAATTAATTGTAAAGTACTTGGAGACAATAAATATGAAGTCACTCCGAACATAGATTCCAAGGGTTGTACACAAGTGCGTCAACTATTCTGCTAATTAATTGTATTAAGAAACTCAAATAATAGCTATTTCAACCTTTGAATAGCAAAAATTTAATATAATCAATCATTTTCAATCATATGCTAAGAATCTAAGATTAAGAATTCTATCTTATGAAATGATTAACACTAAGATTAAATAAATTTTCAACCATCCTACCATAATTTGCAATCCTTAAACAATGACAACCTAGAGTTTACGAGAGACATTTGAGAGAAAAGGAATATCATTTAGTTGCGTATATGTCCTTAATTCTGTCTTTTGTTGCTAAGTTAATACTTGACTCTTTCTTAAACTCGTATAAAGACAAATACTACAATCATTGAAAAAGTCTCTGGTGAATAAGACTCGGTTTGACCTTGTTTAGCGTGTCCAGAACATAGCACTGTCATCATTGAAGGAAGAACGCTTGATCCTTAGAATGCTTTAGAATCTTTTCGATTACTCGTTCGAGAATTGCGATCTTTAGCTATAGAGTTGAGCCATTTTCTTGTATGTCAAACACTTCAAGATTAATAGGAAAAAATCTTGATTAGAATGATTAAAAAGTTTTCTTTAATGATCAATTGGTACAACCATCAACATCTATGTATTAGATTAAATATATATTTTACACATTTTTGTTGATTCATGTACATGATCTGTATTTTATACATCTCGATCGAAAATAACCGAGAGAAAGAAACAAAAAATCAGAATTGGAATAATAAAAATAATTTTAATATCTAAAGATAAAATATACACAAGCCAGTATATAACTTTATAGTAAAACCTCGTTTGGCCTCCCCTAAAATCATGATTCATTTTTCTCTCCTTTTTTATCTACCACATATTCTTTAATAAAATAATATTACACGTAAAATCTTTTTATTTATTTCTAACCACACATTTTTAAAAAAATTACTATTTTAAAATACATTTTTTCCAAATTCTCATTATAATGGGGCCAAACAAACGTTTCATTTTGTAGTTCACAACTTTTTTGTCAATTTAACGTTTATAATAAATTATAAGAGGGTCGACTGTGACAAACAAACATAAGGATGTCTCTTAAAAAATGGCGACGGGCTTTACGGTACACGGCTTAGAGAAGGCTCGACGGAGGCACGGAAAGTATAAAAACAGTACGGATTTCCGTGGAATAATACATTACCAAATTGAATTTAAATGAAAAATATAATAATTTTGACCCATTTTTCCTCCTACCTATTTATGTTATATGGCTTTGTTGGTAAAGAATGCTGGCATAGGCTGGCAAATTCGTTTGGCCGTACCTTTTGAAAATATTCATATGAATATAGACAAAATGATTTATCAAATTTTTTAACAATCGTCTTTTACCTTTTAAGTTTATGATAAATAAATGCGATTTTCGTTCATTTTTACTTAAAAATTAAAACATAACCATGCTCTTTTCTCGCTAGTGGCATGTCCCTACTCAGGCCGTTCATTCGGATTTGGAAGTAAGGCATTTTATAAGGTAAGAGGTGGTGAAGGGAGAGCCTAGCTGAGGTGATGATCGAAGATTGAATTGAAGGGTCGAACGTGCAAAGGACGTGCTTTTTAAATACTAGTTGATTGATGGAAAACCTTTCAATTTAAATCATCCTGCAAAAAATAGTAAGTCGAACACCAACTTCTTAGGTCGTCAAGAGGTTGGAGACAACAACATTAAATATATAAACTTTTAAATTTATATTTAGGACAACAAACAGAAAA